GACTGGCTTAAAATAAGATAACCTCACATTGAAGTTTGCTGGGCTTTGCTGGCATGCATGGCAACTGTACTCCTAGAATTAGTCCACTGTTTCATGCTTTTATGGTCTATCTTTCATTCATTTTGCAAATATTGGTAGTCTGAGACAATGTACGTCTGGTCTCATTTTGCAGAAAAGAAAAGAGCTTGGAAATGCTCTACTATTGCTTGGCACCATGCTCTATCATTCAGTCGGTGAAGGAACCCAGTGACTTAGGTTTCATTATTGTTTGGAGAAAATTCTCCTTGTGTCTGTTGTATTTCTAAAGTTCTTGTGAGCAAAGCAGTGAGCACCCTTTGTTTTAGACCATCTTGTCAAGGATGTTTAGCAGACAGCCTTGAAAGACAGAGATAATTCTTCCTTCCAGAGCAGAGGGCAGGCATGTTTCCAGCCCAGTATGAAAGATTTGGTTTCTAAGCTCAGGGCTCTTCTCCAGTAGCTCTCTGTATGGGCAGTCATTCATTTGGGCCCGCCTGCCTAGCTCCCAGTGTACTTGGGAGCAAGGGAACTGATGCAAATATGCTGACACTAATGCTGCTTGCTGTGCTGTTAGTAACAAAATCCTTAGTCTCTGACCCAGGGGTTTCGTGTCTTTTACCAGTACCTATGAAACTGACAGGCTAACTTGTTAGCTTGTGAGTAGGATAAAATCACAGACTCATCACAATTCTTGATGTTCAGGAGGAATAATGTAAGAATCAGAGAGATTAAATCTCAGGCCCAGAGCCAAATGGTCTAGTCTTTGGCGGCAGTGGGATTTGAACCTGTGTCTCCAGAAGATGTAATTTCTATTATAAGATAGAAAAATAGCTACTGCCTTTGCTGCTGCTGCTATTACAACCAATACAATAAGAATAATAGCTAACAGTGTGAATACCAGACTTTGTTTGACCTTATTTAATTCTCAACGAACAAGTCTATAAGGAAGGTATCTTATAATCTCCAGTTTATAGATGAGCAAAATGAGATGCTGTTACCAAGGTCATATGGGTAGTAAATATGACAGAGCCAAGATTCTAACCTAGGAGTTTGACTTCAGAGTCCATGACTGTAGTAGTTAGGGGCATAACGTGAAAACAGACCAACCTGAGTTTTATGTCCCTATACTATCCCTTACCTTCATTTTGTGAGGTACGGGCATATTAATAAACTTCTTCAAATTTCAGCTGCTTAATCTGTAAAAAATGTGGTGATGGTGGTGTGGGGGTAGGAGATAATAATAAGACCCGCTCCGAAGGGCTGTTATGAGGATCAGACATACGAGGGTGCTTCAAAAGGTTTGTGGAATAATAGAATTGAAAGATAATATGCATCTTTCCATGAAGTTTTTGAAGTGCCCTCATACATTCTGCAAAATGTGCAACACAATTGGTTTCTGGCAGCTAGTAAGCCTTTCTAAATATTAAAGGCTATTATTATTTTTATTATCCTTGCTGCCTTTTCTCTAATTTAAAAAAAACAAAACTTTAATGGTTTTGTACTCTCAGAGTTCTATGATGGAAGAAGTCTTGACTGAAGACAAAATGTTATTCATCCCAGTTTACATCAAGAGGATGAATTTTAAATGTGGGGCAAACCTGGCACAGGACGTTCCTTATATAAATATTTTCTCTAAAAATGAAAATAAAAGCAAAAACCCCTTATAGACCCAACTTATTTGCTAATTTTCATTTTAGTAACCCTTTTTATTTCCTAAATAATTCCTAAATGAGCCAGTAATGTGTTACAGTGACAGCTGATGCCAGAGAAGGTGTCCTCTCTGGGCCTGACATTTTCCTTAATGGAAATTCTAAGTAGTTAAGGTAAACGATATGAAATATTTGGTGTGTTTCCTTCTACAATGGTAGTAGAGAGGAAATCATGAAAAAGCATTGTAAAGATGGCAAACTGATCCACTGTAGCTTTGAAAATTACGTTTGCTGTTACAAGGAGAAATAATAGAGTTAAATATCTAGGAACTCTTACCTCTGGGGCAGTTGATAAATTGAAGGCATTTTCTGAGTGTGTTTTACTTTAGATTAGTAGCCTGGAAGATTTCAGATTTAAAGAGCAAAGTTATGTATCATAGAAACAACAGGAAGATATGCTACACTACTCTGTACCCAAACATTGCAAGTAATCTTGGTAGCTCTATCTTTGAAACCAAATTTTCCCTAAATTCTCCACTATGATTTACTTCAAGAGTCAAACGCTTCTGTGGTATTCTGTACCTGAAAGTAAACTTGGAAGTAGTCTGGCTTAGGATCACCAGTTTACAGATGAGGAAACAGGATCTGGCATGGTAAAGGCCTTAATTCAGGTTTTGTGCTGACCTCCCCCCACCTTCCCCATTTCATGCCGTACCTGGTATCCTGGCATCCCTGACACATTTACAAAATTCTTTTGGAGTTTAGATTGAAGTCAAAGACCAGCCTCCTGAATGTTCCTCTAAATTGGATAAGAAATTTTATATATTGTGCAGCCCAGGAATTAAGATCCTTTGCTCTAAATGACAGTTTGGAGACTGTTGTACAGTATTTTGCTTGCAAATATCGAGAAGTGGATATGTGATTGATTTGCTGACAGACCATCCCTGAAAGCAGTTCTTATGATGGACTTATAATTGATTGCATCCATTATTGAGAGCCTAAAATATCCCCCTCCCTACATTAAAAGGGATAAGTGAAGTAAGGCAGGCTGAATTTATAAACTGACAAATCCGAAGGAATTTAATGAAACTCTAAATTACTGTGGCCAGCAGATAAGAGGAAAAAGTTTCTTTGTTACTGATTATAATACTAAATTAAAAAAAATTATCCAAGAAAGATAATAGAGGAAACAAAGATCTGTGGCCTGTGTATCAAACTAAATTATTGAAAGATTTTTAATAAGTGTGTCTATCTCATTCCTTGGTTATTGTTGATTCATATCAATCTTGTTCGTGCTGTTTGAAGAATAGTAAATATGGGGACTGTCTTGTAGTATAACTTAGATTATTGCTGTTGTAACAGATTTTATAATTAATATGAGCTTATTTCCAGGCTGCTGGGGGCTCCGTACCAAATTCAGGTCATTCAGATGAGCTCTTTGGAAGGTGGTTCCTCAGTCTATGAGTAATTTTATCAGTTAGTATGCTTACAGCTACATATAAAAGAAGACCAATTGGAAGTGAGTTAAACAATGGATATTTATCATCTCCCCTAACAAGAAGTTCTGAGGTAGGCAGGTGCAGGGCTGGCAGCTGAGGTGGGTCAATGGCATAAGTGGTCACTTGCCTTTTCCTTGGCTTTCCCTTCTGTGGTTGTAAGGTAGAAGTGTTTGGGTATCTCAGATCTCCCCTAACAAGAAGTTCTGAGGTAGGCAGGTGCAGGGCTGGCAGCTGAGGTGGGTCAACGGCATAAGTGGTCACTTGCCTTTTCCTTGGCTTTCCCTTCTGTGGTTGTAAGATAGAAGTGTTTGGGTATCTCAACCTTGTAGGGCAATATCCACGGTTGGGAAAATGGACCTTTTCTTTTATTCTTCTGCAAGAAAACTATTTATAGAAGTTTCTAAGATCTCATTGGCTAGGCTTGTCACTCGTAAGAGGAATGGAATTATTAGGAATTACTATGATTCACTCAAACAAATCAAGAACTGCCCAGCCTCTTGCAAAGTCCATGCCTACCTGCCATCTGATTAAAATCAGTTCTGCTACTAAGGAAACAAGTGAAGAGACGGGCTCCTTGGATAAGCAACCAACAAATCCACTTAGATGGGCTATTGGAATTTACTATGAAGGTGGTTTTGTATTTTCTGTTAGTAACTTTTTTCATTTCCTAGTTAGAAGGATAAATGTGTTAGTAATTGACTGAGTCACCTTTCTTTTGCTTTTTGCTTGTTTTACTCAGCTTGGTATATTCTCTGTCTTCACCAGGACTCTGTCTACCAGTGATGATGTTGAAGATCGAGAAAATGAGAAGGGGCGCCTTGAAGAAGCTTATGAGAAATGTGACCGTGACCTGGACGAACTGATTGTGCAGCACTATACAGAATTGACGACAGCCATTCGCACGTACCAGAGCATCACAGAGCGCATCACTAACTCCCGAAATAAAATAAAGCAGGTAGGCCTCCTTTCTTCTTGTCTGGTGATTGCAGCACTTCCGTTAGTACAGGTGTTGTGACTTGGAGCTTTGCCATGGTGGTGGCTAATGGTCCTTAATGACACATTCCAGGAGTTTTGTAGGTGTCTGGGAAGCCTGGCTGAGGAGACCACAAAGGGCATCCTGGGCTTGTGTCTTCCCTCCCCTGTGCCTTATCCTTGGCTTTTGCTGTTACTCCTCACTGCATTGTGAAATAACACAGGGAAGGTGGCCACAACTTGAGGAACACTGAAAGGGATCCAAACCGAAGAGAAGAGCTCTTTTAATACTCTAGGGTCTCAGTATTAGAGGCTCCCATCACAGTATATCAGATGAGCTCATATCACATTGTGTGTGTGTGTGTGTGTGTGTGTGTGTGCCTGTGTATTGCTGCAACAGTTGAAAGTTTTTTTATTTTAATTTTGGCTTTGAAATGTCACCTAATTTGAAGTTGGTTGTGATTTCTCTGTAGTCATTGTGTATTCTTGGCATTTTTTATGAAGTGAAGAAAATGTAACCTACTAATTATTAAAACATATAATGAAATGTCTATGAAGACCACAAGTCTTGGGTGTCATGCTTTAGTCATGACAAACATGTGTTAATTTTTATTTTGTAATTTTCTTTTCATATTTTGGAGCTGTTTCTTTCCTCTTTTTAAAAATCTTTTTCCTTTTCTCCCTTCTCTCCACCTTCCCTCTTCCCTCTTCCCACCCTCTACTTTCCTTCCTTCCCTCCTCCTTTTGTCTCTTCCTCCCTCCTTCTCTCCGTCCCTCCCTTTTGTGGTAGGTCCTTGAAAAGCCTTTGGTTCCTGGGAACCGCGCCTTTAGTACCTACAGGATAAAGTGGGTTTGTGAGGGGTTATTTGTATATTTGACCAAGGAATGAAGTGATCAAATAAGGGTTATGTACTGTCATGTCATAGTTATATGGTTCTTGGATGCATATTTTGAGGTTTACTCCTTCAGTACCTTTTAGTACTACTCTTTGATAAATAACAATAATTACTAACCATCTATTTTTTTTTTTTTTTTTTTTGTGACCGGTAAGTGGATCGCAGCCCTTGGCTTGCTGTCACCCGCACCACGCTCAGCCAGTGAGTGCACCGGCCATCCCTATATAGGATCCGAACCTGCGGCAGGAGCGCTGCTGCGCACCCAAGCGCTGCACTCTCCCCAGTGCGCCACGGGGCCAGCCCGACTAACCATCTATTGAACACTGATTCTTTGCCCTGCATGATTATGTCTACTCCTCCCTCAACAGATTTAGAATTGAACTCTGGTCTCCTTGACTCCAAAGCCTTTGCTGCTGGTTTTCAGGCATATTTTTAAGCAGCAGAATTCTTTTTTTTTAATGTGATACTTTGCCAAATCCCAACATGCCAAAGAGAGGTGACGCTCTCCTATTATGTATTTGGCATTGGGCTGAGAGGTCTAGAGCATTATGCTTGGTCCCTTTGTGGGACTGCAGGCTACACAGACCATTGTTTGAAAGTCACTGCCCTGTGCTGTGAGATTGACTAGGGGACTCCCTGGGCATGTACCTGCCCAGTATGGCTGTGCTTATGGCAGTCTCACATGTTCTATTTCCTGTGCTCTAGACCTTATACTATGATCTCGTAAGCAGATACATAAATTATGCTTCTAAAAATACTGTTGATATATGAGTTTCAGCCTCTAAGAGCCCAGTTCCAGAATCAGTGAGCTCTTCACCTTTTTTAAAGCAATGTGCTAACCTCTTTACATTTAAAATTAACTGGGCATTTTTGAAAGGAATACTATAGTTCCTAGCCTTTACTAGTGGTGAATTAATCCTATGATTTATCTGTGAAACTTGATAAAGCTATAGATCAGTTGCTCTAGATTTAAAGTAAACTGTAGTCTATTTTGATCCAATATACTAAGCTCAAGAAGGGTCAGAAAATGAATGTTTAGAGCTGCTGACCTTCTGGCTTTGCCTCAGGTAATCACAGCAAGGGTGAAGGACCTTTTGGTATTTGTGTTTTCTGATTAGTTTGGATGACTGAAAGGACTTTGTCCTAATCTCAAGGGAAGCACCAGCAGTGATTTCTGCTTTTCTTCCTATCACTGAGTCGCTAGCATCTTTGCTGCAAACAAAGAGTGCTCCCCTGATATTGAAAAAGAGCCTCATCTTGATTATTTCACATTTGTTTTAGTAGCCACAGTCTTTTTTACCATCCTCGTTTTCAGTATGCTGGGGTTTTGAGCAAAAGAAAACTTTGTTTATCATATCAGACAGTTGTCAAGAAAGTAAATGCCACATAATTCAGTGTTATGAATTAGCTTCAATATTGGAAAGAGAAAAAAAGGGCTAAAGCTCTTCAAAAAAGCTTTTAATAATTGATTAATGGGAGAAGAAAAATGTTGGGGTAAAATGAAAATAAATTTGTTTTTATTGCATAATTTGACATTTTGGTACCATGAAAGTCCATTTCTTATCTCCAAGGAAACATTGATGTTTGCTCACTAATCTTTCTCTGTCATTTTGGTTTTTAATTGTACTTTGGATTATATATAAAATATAAATATGCATTTTTTTAAAGTAAAAATGTGGATGATTCAATAATCATTGGGCTACATTATTTCAGAGCCAAGCAAGATGTTGAGAATGTGTATTTTTTTTTAATTAAAAAAATGTGCAAATAAAATATCATGTATGATTGGTCAGGTCAAGTTATGTGGACAGTAAGTAAAATATTTGGTCAGTTCTATTACTGTTGAATACAGTGTAAAATTGGTCAAATTTGGTTATTGAATTAGAAAACTTCAAAATCTGCCAATGTCTCTTATAGTGAGTGTCTTTTATAGGAGCAGCACCAAAATATATGAATATGAGTTGATACAAGTTAGGGACTTGGGCTGTATAGGTGATGCTTATTGATATTTGAATTTGAGTGTTTCTTCATGGTGTACTAGATGGATGAGATGACCTCAGGTTTCTTTAAAGGTACTAAGCAGTCAGTTTAATGCTTATCACAAGAGCAGGGTAGGCTGAAGGGAGGGCACAGATACTTGGCTCTGTTGTGATGTGTGCACAAACACCATTTCACCCCAGCTTTGGCTGCCTTGTTGGTGCTACATCAAGCTCTGAAACTCATTTTTCTTGTCTGTAATTGGAAATAACTGTACGTGATTATTCAGGTGAAGTTGTTAGGGCTTAATCATCGAGTAATGCAACATGTTTGTTAACATTTACCTAAAATAATTTTTTGGCTTTTACATGAAAGTATACCTTGAAAGGTAGAATTAGAATAAAGGATAGCCTTAATTAGCATAAAAAATGGTACAGTAGAGCAACATGGTTTTGGTAGGGTAATTTACAGCCCAAACATAAGATGGAAAATCCTAGCTGCTTATATCAGAAGGGGAAAAAAGACTCAGGTTTCTAGAAATGAATATGCTAAACAGCAGGCAATAATGAGATGCCATAATTTAAAACGTAGGCAGTAGTCTGGAGTGTGTTGATGCAGTTACAAGAACCATGAGGTCATCTTTCTATTAAGTTAAACTGTATCTGTATCTGTGTACTGCATCCAGACCCTGCAACTTAAAAGGAAGGTATTGCCCCCGGAACAGGTTGAAGGGAATCTCTCAGAGAACTTACCACTTTAGAATGGCAGCTAAAAAAACTAAGGGGAAAAAAAGTATGGGAAATAAAAGTTTGAGGATAATTTTTAAATGATTTATATTTCTAAAGGGCTTTTCAACAGAAGAATGAGTGTGTTTCTGAAGTTCTTTCTTTCTAGGCACTTCCTAATTAGAATAAAGGATAGCCTTAATTAGCATAAAAAATGGTACAGTAGAGCAACATGGTTTTGATAGGGTAATTTACAGCCCAAACATAAGATGGAAAAATCCTAGCTGCTTATATCAGAAGGGGAAAAAAGACTCAGGTTTCTAGAAATGAACATGCTAAACAGCAGGCAATAATGAGATGCCATAATTTAAAACGTAGGCAGTAGTCTGGAGTGTGTTGATGCAGTTACAAGAACCATGAGGTCATCTTTCTATTAAGTTAAACTGTATCTGTATCTGTGTACTGCATCCAGACCCTGCAACTTAAAAGGAAGGTATTGCCCCCGGAACAGGTTGAGGGGAATCTCTCAGAGAACTTACCACTTTAGAATGGCAGCTAAAAAAACTAAGGGGAAAAAAAGTATGGGAAATAAAAGTTTGAGGATAATTTTAAAATGATTTATATTTCTAAAGGGCTTTTCAACAGAAAAATGAGTGTGTTTCTGAAGTTCTTTCTTTCTAGGCACTTCCTGTAAGACTGTGGGAAAAATTGGGTTGGACACTAGTGACAGCAGAAAACCTATGAAAGCCCTTATATGTAGATATACTTTTACTACCAAAAAATGAAAAAAGTTATCACGATATTTTGTACTTTTAAAATTAAGAATAATGTTGACCGTTATATTGATTTTTATTTACCATTTCTTGCTTGGACTAATTCTAGTCTTCACTTTCAATGAGCTGCTACACATTTGTGGCGCTTTATTATAGATAATATGCATACTCAGAGACAGTTCCCCCTCTTTATCTTCTCCTTGATCCAAATTCAGTACTTTTCTGATTTTAATAGCTTAAAAGTTATAGCCTTCTGTCACCTCCCCTGGGCCTGTATCCATCAGCCCATCTTATGTATATCTCTGCTCCTCCTGGCACAAATGCTAAGGCAGTGTTATTCGAAGTCCCCAATGAGTTTCCTCATCTCTCTGTATTTCCCAAGGCAGGGTTGCAAAAATCTCTACCTCTCTGGGGTCTGTATCATCTCACATTTCTATTCAGGATAGCCTCTTGGGCCCTGTTTTCCCTATTTTCTCTGTTTCTAATAGTCCCTAATTAGAGTGACTTGCAGTTCTTGTGTATTGAAACAAAATCTTGCTGTTTCTGAACTGGTGATTAGAAGCAACTGCGAAGTTACTAAAATTCTGAGGAAGCAAAGGAAACGTCTCTGTA